CCCTCCCTAATGATTGTAAGCCGCCCTGAGTCCCCTCAGGGAAAAGGGCGGCCTATAAATCCTAGCTGATTGTCGCACAGCATTTTTTTTACTACCGGTTCAGGCAAACCGGTAGCATATTTTACAAGTTCGGGCAAACTTACCTGAACATGTAGCATTTCACTCCGGTCTCTATGCTCAAAAGTGGAACCATTCAACACTACCCTCAAGAACGGCCTGGTTGGTGAATATGATGGCATTTGCAGAGGGGTATAAATTAACTTCCTTGATTAAAGACAGTACAATATCTACATTTATGGCTGACTGGAAATCCCTTTTTTATGATTAGATAAAAAATAGAGTAATGATCTTAGAGCTTTTGTTTGTAATTTGTAATTACTGTATATTTGCTGCAAAGGAAATCAATCTTCTTTCAGGGTCTTTTTTTCCTTTTGCACTTTTTTCTTAATTCTATTAAATACACAAGAACACACTTTATTTATGTAGCATTTTGATCCTTTCGACTTTTGTGATAGGGATTGGCAACATTTTTCTGTCACCTTGGTACTACTGCCCAGCACTCTATTACAAGTTTGTGTGAATTTCAACAACTTAGTTTGAGTACTGTCTCCAGGGTGCACAAACCTTTCTGTCATGTTAGCTCATTACCCTTGACATATAGACAATATACTGTTTATACCTCCTCTAATCAAATATCTGAATTCTAAACATTCCCATGATCATCAGACATGTATTTTCAATCCAGTAGGATACTTCTTTAATGTAAGATAACCTCCTTAGTAATGGGTCTCTTCCGTTTTGTGGTGACAGCCTGTTATTCCAAGATTTTCATTCTTTATTACTCATCCGGGCAAAGTATGTAAGGAAACTAACACTACTATCAGGACTTTTTTTAGAAAAACAAATACATCAGAGTGCTTATCAGATATAAACTGCCCATTCCAGGGGCTCATATAAAGTATTTAATAACATTGTATTTTTTTTCAAAATCAAATTAGTTATTGTATACACTAAGTGATGAAATGGAGTTTCAAATATCAACATTTTGAGGTAATATTCTTTAATAGTGGAGAAGGGAAGAAATAACTCAAAACCTGTAATATTCAAATTTTTCATTATTTCCTACCTACAGTATTTTGAATGAATGTAATTTGTATTAACATATCCTTGCCTATACTTGAATGTATGCTTTGAAGACAAAGAGTAGCAATGGAGACATTTTAATGTTTAGATTTTTTTCATGGGAAAGAAGTTTGTTGATAGTCATATTTACCTGAAATTCAGCTATGATTATGTTCTTTAAATTCTTTAATATCTGATCCCCATAGATATTGATCATCTGCACAACTTGCTCATGCTCCTTGTCAGATCTGTCTCAACTTGGACGTTGAGGAAAGAAAGACCCTCGACTCCATTTGATTGAAGTGATAAGATTCTTTTACTAAATCAGGCTGTTGTAATGAAAGTAAAGCTGGTATTCCCGCACAAAGGTTACACTTTTCCCCCTTTCCCTGCTCCCCCCCATTGACCAGTTCAACAGTGTCCAATATTATTCCTTTTTGAATTTTTGGAAACCACTTTGATGTTGGTGCTTCTTGATGCAGTTTCTCATTCTGTTCCCAGGCCATCTGTCTTTGGCATCTGGTTTATTCTGGTTTGCCACCTCTGGTTCTTGTCAGCTTGTCTTCCCTCCCTCATTTGTCTTCCCCTTCCCATGCTCCAAATTCTTTTCCCCTACTTTCATTTTATGGCAGGATGCCAGCAAAATAAAAAAGCTGAAGATGGTGGATGTGACTTTTATAGTGCTGGAAGGTACATGAATATTTCCATGGGACTTCTATTTTTCCCATTCAATTTATCTATTGCTTAATTTACTAAAATTACTAGTATCTTATGTACCAGACAAGTTCATTTAATACGGTGAAGCTAAAAGAACTCTTAAGTGAACATATCAACAAATTTTAAGCAAGAAACTAAACAGTAAAATTGATTTCCCCCGCCCCCAGAATTCTTTTGAAAAGTTCATCACAAATAAAGGCAAATATACACTATATTGCCAAAAGTATTTGCTTACCTTTCTTTACTGACATATGGAACTTACTGTGACATCCCATTCCTAATCCATAGGGTTCAATATGACGTCGGTCCACCCTTTGCAGCTATAACAGCTTCAACTCTTCTGGGAAGGCTGTCCACAAGGTTCAGGGTTAGGGTTAGGTTGTTTATGGGAATTTTTGACCATTCTTCCAGAAGCGCATTTGTGAGGTTACACACTGATGTTGGACAAGAAGGCCTAGCTCTGAGTCTCCGCTCTAATTTATCCCAAAGGTGGTCTATCGGGTTGAGGTCAGGACTCTGTGCAGGCCCGTCAAGTTCATCCACACCAGACTCTGTCATCCATGTCTTTATGGACCTTGCTTTGTGCTCTGGTGCATAGTCATGTTGGAAGAGGAAGAGGCCAGCTCCAAACTGTTCCCACAAAGTTTGGAGTATGGAATTGTTCAAAATGTCTTGGTATGCTGAAGCATTCAGAGTTCCTGTCACTGGAACTAAGGGGCCAAGCCCAGCTCCTGAGAAATAACCCCACACTATAATCCCCCCTCCACCAAACTTTACACTTGAAACAATGCAGTCAGACAAGTACCGTTCTCCTGGCAACTGCCAAACCCAGACTCGTCCATCAGATTGCCAGATAGAGAAGCGCGATTCGTCACTCCACAGAATGTGCCACCACTGTTCTAGAGTCCAGTGGCGCCGTGCTGTACACCACTGCATCCAACGCTTTGCATTGCACTTGGTGATGTATGGCTTGGATGCAGCTGTTTGGCTATGGAACCCCATTCCATGAAGCTCCCTGGACACTGTTCTGGAGCTAATCGGAAGGCCATATGACGTTTGGCGTCTGTAGCGATTGATTCTGCAGAAAGTTGGCGACCTCTTCGCACTATGCACCTCAGCATCCGCTGACCCCGCTCCATCAGTTTACGTGGCCTACCACTTCATGGCTGAGTTGCTGTCGTTCCCAAACACTTCCAAGTTTTTATAATACAGCTGACAGTTGACTGTGGAATATTTAGGAGCGAGGGAATGTCACGACTGGATTTGTTCCACAGGTGGCATCCTATCACAGTCCCACACTGGAATTCACTGAGTTCCTGAGAGCGACCCATTCTTTCACATATGTTTGTAAAAACAGTCTGCAGTCCTAGGTACTTGATTTTATACATCTGTGGCCATGGAAGTGATTGGAACACCTGATTCTGATTATTTGGATGGGTGAGCAAATACTTCTGGCAATATAGTGTATATATGCCAAGATAATGTTGCAGGATCCAATCTGGGTTGGTCACTGGGACAGGAGGTTTAGTTTTCCTAGCTTTCGCATTAGTGCTACAACCAATCCTCAGGGAAAGTCTCTCTACCAGAATATGTGTTCATCAAAAATTCATCTATTCAGGCAGTAAATACCTTATTCTTTTTACTGGATGTATTGGCAAACATATTTAATAACTGCAAGACATAAATAGAATCCCATTCTTATTCTTTGCATTTAACTACTTTCCTTTGTAAATATCAATGAAATCACATATTTTAAACATTAATCTGATTGATTGGACATAGTTTTCATCGTTGAGATGATGATCTCTATGTTTAAGTTGGCAATTTGTAAGGATAACCATGTGTCAGGATGATCAATATATAGGGAATGGATTGTATCTGCTGTACATAGTCTCAACTTGGTTATTACCAATCATAGTTACAATTTAAAAAAAGGGGGGGGGTTATAACCTGGATTCAAAGTTTCCATAGTTGGGCCCAGTCTGTAGTCACATGACTGAACTTGGCAACATGGCGATATTTATAGCCATTTGCAGTCACGTGACCACATTTTACAACAGTTTTGCCAAAAGCTAGCACTCCTATTTTTGGCAAAATTGCACCCATAGAGAACCAGTAATTCTTTTAACGACTTCAGGGATTTTCTTAACAACTGCTGCAAAATGGTCATAACATTTTACAACCATTACAACCAGTCTCCATTATAGTTGTGTGTCAAGGACTACCTTTGTTTGAGGGTCTGAAGAATGAAAAGCATGACAGCATAGAAAGGACTGTAGAAATGTGGAAATACTATTTTTAAATAAATCCTATTGAACATACTAGCACTGCTAATACAAAAACCACATATATTTAGTTGCCATACATTAATATGGTAACATCCAATACAGATTTAGATTAATCAAAAGAAGACTGGTATTATTAGATTATGAATGTAGTTATGACAGTAACTAAAGACACTGATATATACCTCACAAAGTTATATTGATATCACAAACCAGTATGAGGATTCTGTGGATTAAATTTTAACAAATCTGGAGAGGATTACATTGATATAATACAAGCTAGAGATGGTGTAGCTTTAGCCAGTGTTTCCCAAAAATACTTTCTCTGCCTTCTTAAATTTTCTGACTTCGACAGATAACTCCCAATATCGAAGGTAGATCCACATGAGCTTTCCATTTTGATTTTTATTGGTATTTAATAAATTGCTGCAAGAGGTATCATATCTGAAAATATCTTTCAGCCCAGCTTCCAGTTCCAGTTCCAAACCAATTGGATTAGTTGTTGCTTTGGTTAGCATTTTTTTCTCTACTGCCAACCGATGATATCTTGGCAGTATAAGGCTGCAATACATATCCTGCCTTTCCATTAAAGCTTCTTCAAACTCTTTTAGTAAAATAGAGGCTTTTGTTTGCCACTGATCTTCCTTCTCCAAGCAGTTCTTATACAAAGCACCTGCAGCACCAGAATCCTGCAGAATCTGCTTCTCTTGTTCCACCTTTGTCCTCTCTTGTTCCAAAGTTCTTCTTTCTTCTACCAATTTGTAACTTTGAGAGATGAGTGCATTGCGATAACTTAGGGTTCTGTTCCGTTCTTTTTCCAATTCTAATTCCAAGTGGGCAACCATTCTGCGATTTTCTATAATTATATCGCGATATTTAGATTCAAGCTCTTTCTGTACAAAAGACAATTTTCTATAGACCTCTCTTTTCTCTTTTTCTATTTCTTTCTTAGATTCTCTGGACCAAATCCAACCTGTAAGACATTAAAATAACCTAGAATGGTAAATACTAGGACTGGTTTCCAACTTAGTGTTAAGTCAAATTTAACACTATACTACATATACTATATAACTATGTATACCTCTAGTGAAATATTATCAGTAGAATAAAGTGGAATCAGAGATCAATGAGCTTATCCTTGGAGCAGGGTAAATCTTACAACTAGATACTTAACTGCATTGCTTGGAAATGGATGGGGGAAGAAAATGAGGTTCTCTTAGAATAGTTCTCTGTATGAGATTGTTTTCTCTTTCCAACTGACTCTTTAAAAATTATGTCATAATGTAGCATTTTTCTTCATTTTTATAACACATTGTAACTTATTATTTTCAATTTTAAAAAAATGTTAAATGTTTACTTAGTCTTTTCATTTTCAACCATTAATTACATTGCAAGGGTTATTTTACTATAGTAATGTCACTCTATGCATTGGCCTTCTATCTTTACATTAGAAGTAGTCCTCAACTTACAACCATTTGTTTAGTCACTGTTCAAAGCTACAACGGCATTGAAAAAAGTGACCTATGACTGTTTTTCATATTTATGACCATTGCAACGTTCCTATGATTACATGAACAAAATTTTAACAACTGCAGTGATTCAACTGCGGCAAGAAAGGTCATAATATGGGGCAAAAGTCACTTAACAACTAACTTGCTTAGCAACAAAAAAATTGGTGTCAGTTGTGGTTGTTAGTTGAGGACTACCTGTAATACCTTACACCTCTCTTCATGGCTCTTCATTTAATGTTTGCATGTTTTATGCCAGCACAGATTATTTCCAAAAAGGAAAGAGGCAGAAATAAAAGCACTAAGGGAAAGTTACATCTTATTTTTGTCAGGGGAAAGTATTATGGTCCCTGCCCTTAAAAGTATTTGGTACTGATACTGGCCATCCTGGGTAAGGTTGCCATCTGGAAGTAGCAGATAGGAACAGAGCTGGTTGTCTCATCACATTAGTCCACTCGGAAAAGGGAAGGAGATTCACAGGAATAATTCAGGTCCCTATGTTTTTGGTTGTAGTGGAAGAAGATGATGTCATGGAAAAGGGGATGATGCAGAATTGCAATACTTCTCTTTGGGAAGATGGGAGGGGAGAAAAGGTGGCAGTATAAGCAAAAATGTCATTCATTGCTCCTGCCAAAATCCTCCAAACTATCAAACATTTCATGTCCAACATCATCAGGCAATGGTCCTGGAAAAAACAGCCAAGCACTAAAGAAGGTTGCTCTAGAACCATCATGAAGATTTTTATTTCTCTTCTATTTCTCATTTGCGAGCTGTGCAATAGATTAAGGGGAGCAGAAGTCTATATAAATCATACTATTATGAGGAGAGATAAACAAGAGATGATGTTTTTTTAGCCTGAATACTAAGATCCTGTTCCAGGTAAACATGATGTTACAATCTTTTTCACGAGTGTCTGGAAATAGGAACAGGATATAGTCCCAAAACTAATTCTTAATAGATCTACCTCTCTCTAAGATCTTAAATTGGCCCCTAATTGGACAATGCAAATTAGAATGACTAGAGTGAACAAGGGGCAGGAAGGATGTGGGAGGTTTCATTCAAATTGGGCTGGCAGTAGAATTTTACAATCATTATCAAAGTGGGTTCAATAAATGATCAGAAAAAATATGGAAAAATTATCTTATTGAGTTCTAGACTTAAGAATTATAAACTGTTTTAGGCTGAAGATTTTGTAAGCTTGCATGGCCATGAATTAGAAGTAATCATAGTTCCCCTACTGAATCCCTGTAACATTACATTAGCCAAATTCTAGGCAGTTGGCTGACTGACAGAAAAAAGAAACTTTGTTTCCTGCAAAATCTGAGAGTTCAGTATTTTCTTTGATAAAGGAAGAAATAAAAATGTCTTTATGTTTTTCATATTACCATAATGATAAGAGCTCCTGGTTTCAGGAAGTCTAGGTAATGTTTAAAATAAGGACAAAATATTTGTAGGATGATTCAATGTTAATAATGGATAAGCAGAACAACTTAAATTTAAAAGTAATCGAAAAATTCAAATTTTATTTAAAGATCACTTACGGAAGGCAGCCAATCCCAGCATTGGAACCAACAAAGCATAATTCCATTTGCTTCCATGATCTTCATTATTTCTTGCATTAGGTTGAATGTTCCAGTTAGGAGGAGGGTTATTTAAATTATTCATAGGCAAACCTTAAAATCAGAGAAAACAACTCTTGAGACTCTTATCACCTAACTTTACACTCAGCTATTTAAACTCTGATAGAATTCCCTAAAAATTACTTATATCCATGACATAGTGAGAATACACAAAAAATGTAGGAGAAAAACATACTGCTGCCAAATCTGATTTCTCATATCTTTTATTATGCTTCCCCAAATAATGAAGGTTTGGCCAGATCATCAGCTAGTTCCTTTAGTACTTTGGAATACAATTAATACACTCTTATATTTAAAATCATTCATAAGAAGCATGTGTTTCCTGATGATGTTTCTGATGGTCTCAATATTTAATTCTGTCATTTTATCTATTCTTCATACTTTCTGGTAGAACCAGGGCTGATTCAGGGGTAAAGTCAAGTAGGCCAGATTAGAGGAACCAAATTTTAGGAGTGCCTGTTCTTATAATCTATTCAGGGAAGAAGGAAATACACACAGTGATACAAAGTGATATCCTCTCAGGATATTCAAATCCTGAGAGGAACAGTATTAAGAGCAAGATACATTTAGCTGGGGAAAAAAAGGGGGGGGGGGGAAGAGCTATATCTTCAAATATCACGTGCTATTATTAAGAAAATGGAGCAGAATTTTTCTCTGTTGCTATGGAGATCAGAATTCTGTCCAATGAATGGATGGGAAGTAAATTTTAGGTAAAGGTTCCCCTCGCACATATTTGCTCGTCGTTCCTGACTCTATTTCTCCATTTCAAAGTCGAAGAGCCAATGTTGTCCGAAGAAGTGTCCGTGGACATGTAGCTGGTATGACTAAATGCTGAAGGCGCATGGAACGCTGTTACCTTCCCATCAAAGGTGTTTCCTATTTTTCTACTTGCATTTTTACATGCTTTCAAACTGCTAGGCTGGCAGAAGCTGGGACAAGTAATGGGACCTTGCTCAATTACAGACCATTACGGATTTGAAGTGCTGACCTGCCAACCTTTCTGATAACAAGTTCAGCATCTTAGCCACTGGGCCACCACGTTTTAATCAATTTTAGTCAAATATTAAACAAATATTATGGTAAGGCCTGTTTGGTGATATATTAAACTATCTCTAGAAGGATAGTCTAGTTTCTTCTCTGAATGTATTTTAGCAGAAGTTGAATAATCATCTTTCAAAGACTTTATCATACTCTGTATTAAATAGAGAGTTGGGTAACATTATCTCCAAAGGTTCTTTCTGTGATATACAGTAATTTTATAAGCAACAGAATTCCCTAATTCTGATATAGGCATTTTTATTTTCTACAGAAATTAATATAGTAATAGGCATGGTTAAAGAAAGAAAATGTATTTACTTTTGGGGTTACTAGAATTTCTAGGAAATGCATTCATAACCTCCCAATTTAATATTTATCATTTACAAACAACAACTTTATTGTTTTCTCTAGAGTCACTGGAGTTGTAGTTAATCATCATGGTTACATCAGGGCTTTAGAACTCAGTTTGTTAAGCCGTTTTTCCCCATATAAAGTCCAACATTTAACTGACTATTCTTTAATAAAAAGTTTTGTGGAAATCTATAGGAAAAAATCTTCCTCTAAGAGAAAAATATGAAATGTTCCTTCAAACAGTTGCTTCAAACACATTACACACAAATCTGTATCAAGGAACTTTTTAGCATCTGCAATTTTATCAAAAAATAGAATAGTTATTATACAGTTTTACCCTCTTATGTAAAAACAGGATTAATATGGATTACTTGATTGTCAGGGCCCAGTACTGTTAATTGCAGTTGTCAATTACGTATATTGCTTCACAAGCCTCCTTTTTTATTAAACTAACAGCACTTTAAATATAAAAACATGCAAACTCATACCAAAAAATCTTCACGAACATTAAATAAAGGTGAAAAGAAAACCCACGACCAGAAGTTCTGGCAAAACAATATTCCAAACCCTCCGTAGCAGGTACTGAGTACCTTAACTTTCATTGCGCGTGCGCAACGTGCGCATCGTACTCTTAGCTTCCTCTCCACCCCGAGATAAAGCCCCTTCATCGCGAGAGTCAAAACCATAGACGATACATCAACTATAACTGTTTTCCTTTTTCAAAACGGATTGTCCTGGTGGTGCAGTGGAATATTTAAATCTTCGGAACTTTCCTAACCTTTGATTTTCATATCTTTTCATAGAAACAACGAATGCCTGAAATGATAAAAACCTACCTGGACAGATTTATTTTGGTTTTTTCCTCGCACTGGTGCTAACCAACCAGCGCTCTCCGTGGGACGCTTGCTCAATTAGGCCCCACTTTCCACACATGCGCAGTAGCTTAATATCCTACCAGGTAGAAATGGCGTTGACTTTGGGGAGGCTGCGATATTTGCAGTTGTTCTGCAAGGTACGTCCTTGGTACAGGCCGGGTCAACTATAATAAATTTATATTTATATTTACCTTGCTCGAGGGTGGGTATTTCAGCTTCAGTCGGAGAAAAGTGGCGGGATGTGCGACTTAATGGGCTACGTATATTCAGGATAAGATACTGGAAGTTTCGGTTCCGTCCCCCCCCCCCCCCCCGATGTGGCATTCCGGGAATCGTGTTTCCCATATTTCTATAGGGATATGTTTAATATATTCTATATAAGACATCTTATAAATGCTTTAACAATTTGTTTTTATTTTTTCCGTCCGTATATTTTCTTGTTGAGACCCGCGTTGAACTTTGTTCTTAAAAAATAAACGTATCTTGGTCTTGAGATTAAAACATAATTTACACAGTAATAGCTTGCTAATATGGAGATGATATAATTAGCAGCCCTGATAAGTGACTTTTCTCTAAAATCTCAAAACATGATGAAGATTTGAGATGATACAATATATTTACATAAGAAAGAGGCCTTTTTGAAATCAAATACTGTATAAATGCAAGAGACATTTAAAATGATAGAATCGACTTCTGCAAACCTAAAAGTATACATGACTACCACACAATCTTAGTAGCATAGCACTCCCACATAGGAATATTTTAATAGAATGCCTTATAGTAGTGGCCAAAATTGTGGAAACCATTTGGGAAAAGTGCACAGTATTTTTGAGGGTAGATTGCTAATACCACTTTTTTTGCAATAGTACCATAAAGTTAAATATCAATGGAAAGATAATTTAATCAAGAATGTAATGCAATAACTTATATGAAGGATTTGCTATTAGAATAGCAGTTATAAAGAAGAAAAGGGAAACACTTAGGCCAAATTCCTGAAGTCTGCACCGAACAGTCCTTGCACTCAACTTTACATTGCATTTCAACATTTCATCTTATATACACCCAGATGATTTTCTTCTCTCACTTAGGCATAGTCTTTTAATTTTTCTATCATCACTTGCTCTTGCATCTTTTTCTGCCTTTACTAGTGTGGTTTTTTAGTGACTGAGTCTTCTTATACCTCTTCAAAAACTTAGAAATGCCACCTTCTAATTTCTTTATAACTGTAGCGTTGTTCACTTGATAATACTATTTTACATGGCTTTCTGGGTGATCAGTCAACTCTGCACCATTACTTTAATTTTATTACGTTTTACAAGCTCACTAAATGAAAGAACAAAAAAAAAAACCCCAACTTGATAGCAATTACAATATCAGATTAAAAGTCTAGATGGTATTTTGTCCAGTTTTGTTGAAAAATGTTTAAAATTAATTCATAATTCTTCCTAATGTTTCTTATCATTTCCTTTTTTAAATATTTTGACAATTGCTGGAAAATGTAACTACAGATATTACATTTCTGCATACCATTTGGTTATGATGATTTATGTAAAAAATAAAATCACGAAATATAATTTGTTGCACTGTCCCAGGGTCATTTGATTCCCATGTACAATCTTTCTACCTAGCTTCTGACAAGCAGAGTCAATGGGGAAAGTCAGATTTGCTCAAGGATTGCATTTCACTTGAACCACTGCAGTGATTCACTTAACAACTGTGGTAAAAAGTTTATAAAATAGTGTGTAACTCATTTAACAGCTTGTCTTACTTAACACCTGAAAATTTTGGGATCAATTTGGTTGTGTTAAGGGCACCAAAATGTTTGCTTAAAAACAATGCAAGTACTAAGTATTGTAAACAACATTTTGGTTCCCTTATTAATTAGAAGATTTTTAACTATTATTTTTATTTTTCAGCAAAGACCAGCAGCTTGTGATGTGTTTTCTCGTAATTTTCACTTCACGGAATATGGAAAGAAGAATGTGTCTGCCAAAGTATCTGATTCAGTAAGTTATTTTTGAATCACTTACATGACTTCTTCATCCAATCCAGATATGCTGAAAAAGATAAGACATTCAGTCCACAAATTGATCTAAGTTGTAGTCTAGTTTATTTTTGAATGAGTTGTTTGGTTTAACAAACCATGATTTGTGGTTTAATAGTTGAATAGTTGTGGGTTACTCAATAAACCTTGATTAATAAGACATGGCTTTGCATGCATACTGTACATTTAGCCAGTAAGTAACTGTATGGGTATGCGTTCGTAAATTTTAAAGCTGGATTTAAATGATCCCAACCTCTGTTTTCCTTATTGAGGATTCTGGCATTCAATCTTGTTTGTATAGATCAGTCAAATTGCAGTTTATTTATTTATCTGATCTATCTATCTGTTCAAATTAAATACTAAAGATACAGTGATAACTTACAGGAATGAAAGAGCTTTTTGTTAACATGGCAAAGAATGGCAGCAAATAATTAAGGACTTGAGTTTAATTATGCTTCTTAATTGATTAAATTACAGAGGAGAGGAATATTATTAATAAAAACCTAAAGAGAGATAATTGAATTGTTTTTAGCATAGTGCTTATTGATTGTTCTACTCTCCAAATGTAAATTTAAATAATAACTTGTATTGGGGTATTGCAAATATTTCATCTCAAGGTATTCTGCTTTTTTGTTGTTCAGATTTCAACACAGTATCCTGTAGTGGACCATGAATTTGATGCAGTTGTAGTGGGTGCAGGTGGTGCAGGTTTGAGAGCTGCCTTTGGCTTGTCTGAGGCTGGTTTTAATACAGCATGTGTTTCCAAATTATTCCCAACCAGATCTCATACTGTTGCTGCACAAGTAAGAGACCTCTTTTTCTCAGTTGCTGCATGCTATCTAGATTTATGTTATATGCAGATGCCATTGTTTAACAGAATTTGTTTGTCTCTTTATAACTTTGAATTTGCCTTAACAGTTCACCATAATGCAATTTTTTTAAAGTTAAGTTGTCTCAATTCCACTAATTTAAAGAATGTGTTTAAAACCTGGAACCATTATTCCCTTGTCATTGAAATTTCAAGACTCTTCACATTTGCAGAGTTAAGACTGCTGCAGTGTCATAGTGCTTAGTTGGGGTCAAGTGATCATAATTTTCAATATTTCATGTCAGTTTCCTCCAAGCAAAGTTGACGGGGAAGCCAGTAGGAAGTGGGAAATGATTCCTGCTTCCACTGTTTTCTGCTTATCTGTGGTCATTCTGATTCTCTGCTTAGGTAAGGAAATATCTCAGGAAGGTGACCTAATGGATCATAGGTTTTCTAGTTAATAGTAATGCTTGAGGCCTATAGTATTCTGATTTTCATGAGTAGCATAGAGTGAGGTGAGCATTATATATTTATTTTGCATTGAAATATTGATTCTGGGTAAAATTCTGAATTTAATTTTCACAAGAGAGATCATCTGGAGCTTTGGAATAAAGTATTGCTATATGCTAACAACACCCAACTTAAATCACTTGTGAATGGATCAAAGACTTCCTGACGGATCATCCACAAACAGTAAGGGTTGGATCCTTTACATCTTCCATGCTGAAGCTCAGGCTTCCCTTAGGGCTGTGTACTCAGCCCATACCTGTACTCGTGTACACATGACTACATATCCTCTGATCCATCCAACATCATAATAAAGTTTGCAGACGACACAACAGGGCTGGGTCTCATAACTGGAGGGGATGAATCAGCATACAGGGAAGAAATCCAGAAGATATCTGCATGGTGCTCAAGAAACAACTTACATCCAAATACTAGTAAGAAAAAGGAGATGGTGCTAGATTTCTGAAAGCACAGAGAGGAACCTGCCCCACTATATATCGAGGGGGATTGTGTGGAGAGGGTTTCCTCTTTTAAATTCTTGGGAGTGCTTATTAGTCAAGATCTCACTTGGAAAAACAACATGTCTCTGGTGATTGGAAAGGCCCAACAGAGACTTCATTTCCTTAGAGTCCTGTGAAAAAATCAGGTGGAACAATGGCTGATGACCTCTTTCTATCAGTCCACCATAGAAAGTGTCCTCACATATTGTATTACGGTATGGTATACTGGTTTAACAGCTGCAGACAGGAAGGCACTACAGAGAGTGATCAATTCGGCACAAGAAACCATTGGTTGCCCTCTGACACCACTGGATGATATCGCCAGATCTTGCTGCTTTAGCAGAGTAAGGAAGATACTCAGAGATGATTCGCATTCTGGTCAGTGTCTCTTTGCACTTCTACCATCAGGCAGAAGACATCAAAGTATAGCTAGATGAACAAACAGGTTTAAGATAGTTTCTATCCTTGGGCTGTGAGACTTTTAAATACAACCACAATCACTCCATGCACACGCTAGTTTTTTTTCTTTTTCTTTCTTTTTTCGTTTCTGTCATTTTGCACCAATGAGGTTAAAACCAATTTTGTTGTATTTAAGTACAATGACAATAAAGATTATATTTATACTTATAATTCTCCATATCATTGAACTGTAAACAAATTGATTTCCTTGATAGAGTATACATTTAATAAATGAGCTGGATAAATAGAAATTATGGTACATTTATTTAATTATTATTTATAGACTACATGTTCTAATTATGTGATATTCAGATCTCTTCTGGATGGGAATGAATTCTCCTTTAAATAACTATCCCATAATATAGAAATGATCCTTGATTCACAGCTGCATCTGGATTCCCAGATGTGCTTTTCCAATTGCCAACTATTAACAATTTCTGTATCAAACATGCTTGATAAAAATTGATTATACCTTGATTGCAGCATGACTTGTTTCTAGCAATGAGCTCTTTATATAGTTAACTTTGAAGAGTGTTTAAAGGTTCAATTGGGGTTAAATACAATTAGATCCAGAATTCTAGGAGCATTTTATTTCAGTGTTGAATACATATACTGATTACCAAACTGTTTTTTGGACAGAATGGAAAATGATTATTCTTTTTAGATACTGAAGTGTTGAAGACATGATTAACTGAGAAACTGCTGCTCTTGACATGAATTTGCCTTGACTCAAAGTCAACAAGAGAAAATTTCTTAAATATCACTTTCTGATCTTTAGAGAAAGGAATTGTATTAAATCAATCATTTTTTATTTTAGGTGCCAGGGTTATGTCATTTACTCATTTTTTAAAATAAATAGGTTGTTATAATCAGAACAAGGCTAAACCTACCATGCAATTCTTATTTCTTGATCTATGAAAAAAATCTCATATTGATCTCTATTAAAGGTTTATGATAAACCTTTAATAAAATGATTTATTAACATTTTAACAATTTTCCTCTGCAATGGCTTAATTTATAGGGAGGAATCAATGCTGCTTTGGGGAACATGGAAGATGATAACTGGCGATGGCATTTCTATGATACTGTGAAAGGCTCTGACTGGCTAGGAGATCAGGATGCAATTCATTATATGACAGAGCAGGCCCCTGCTTCAGTTATTGAGGTACAGTTTCTCAGATTCTTTGAGTGTCTACAAACATTCACATTGATAACATAATTAGGAAAAACCATTTCTTAGCTAAAACAACTTTTTTCTTCACTTATAGTATCAATGTGAAAAATAGGATGCATAAACATGTATTAGTTGACTGCCTTTATTTGTCTTTTAATAAAATAACTGTAATACATGAAAAAAACCCAGAAAAAGTGCTGATGATCATGTATTTCTTGATAATGCCAATATCATTGAAGATAGTCTTTCTGAAACGGCAATCCCAAACAAAATGTTTATATTTTATATCATTTAAAACAATGGTCCCCAATCTTTGCAGCTTGGCGGGCTGGTTGGGAGAGAGAGAAACCAGACCGTGTGAATGGTGGGCTGGTGTTCATGTCTGCATACATGCAACTCAACTCACGCAAGCAGGCTGCTCCATACGCACATGCCATGCAACTCCACTGCAAATTCTCTCCCACCTCTCATGCAGCCAAGTTCTGAATAGGCCATAGCCAGATAGTAGGCTGCAGCCTGGGGGTTGAGGACCCCTGATTTAAAACCATTGTATATTCATTGACAAATTTCAGGTTTGGATCACAAAAAATCTTACATGATTTTTCTATATTTAGATACCCTACTTAATTGTCTGTTTTGAGACATGATCCATTGCAATCTACCTAAGTTTACCTAGTATTCTTCATTTCCTCCTTAGCTGTTTTAATTTTTTTGGGCTTTTTGTGTTCTGTGATCCAGTTTTATATATCATTGAAAAATGGGGAACTGTCATCCTTAGTGATCAGGCTATTTTTACGATTTTGGTCTGACAATATGATTATGTTACTTTTGAAAAAAATTGATTCAGACCTATCCATACAGTTTTCTTACCAGTGCCACATAAATGATTTGCCATTACTTTAGTTAAGCCTTGATTTTGTCATTTATTCTAAGTGGGTCGGCATGTATGGTTCTCAATTTTTGAGAATTGAATTATCACAGTTGTTAAATATTATGTGGGCTAATACAAAACGCTTCAGGACATATTTAGGTCCCTAATTAGTGTCCATAAATTGCTAAACTTAAATAAATTAAATTACTGTATTTAAAAATGGCCAAGAACACATCACTAAATCTCATAACATTTTAGTACTTTTGCTTAAATTGAATGAACATTTCAAAATCTTTTGAGATTTTAGCTATTAAAAATAAATATACATGTTCATTTGCATATTACAGCCTTCTTACAATACATTATTGTCATAGTTCATGAATAATCTAGGGACCGTAGTGATATTACTAGCTAATTTTCAGTAATTTCTGTTAGAACAGAATCTTGTTATAATCTTGCACCATAACGTACTAAATAGATTAAAATGTTGCTTAGCTTATGTTAACTCCTTTCATTTTACTTTATTTGTTTTTGGGAGCTGAGATATTTTCAGATGTATTATATGTTATTTTACTAATTCCCCTTGTCTTTATATACAATTAAATTAGTCATCTCTTTTTGGATTCCTCAGCTAGAGAATTATGGTATGCCATTTAGCAGGACAGAAGATGGAAAGATCTATCAACGTGCTTTTGGAGGTCAGAGCCTTAAATTTGGGAAAGGAGGACAGGCTCACCGTTGCTGTTGTGTAGCTGATAGGACAGGTCACTCTCTGTTACACACACTGTATGGCCGGGTAAGTAGTTGTTTGTGGAGTGGGGAACAAAGATTAACAGTTGCTTTTAAAATTGATGGTGGCATTGGCTTATGCCAATTGCTGTTACAACTGACTCCAGGTAGAATTTGGCTGATGTTCCTATATATTGTCTATATAAGTAAATACAGTCAAAATAATAGAAAGTTTGTATAAGTGATATTTCTCTATTATTCAGAATTCAAAATGACAGTTTTTAAAAAATAAATCTGTTCTTAAGATATAATTTTTTTGGCTTTATTTTTGATCTTATAAAATATAATGGAACTGAAAAGATGCCTTGTAATATGTCAGATCATTGGACTATGCATTCCTGTAGATTGTAGTTAGTGATCAGAGAAGAGAGCTTGGGATTGTTGTGGATACATAATGAATATCTTAATACAATGGGTTCTTTGAAAATAGCAATTTCCAAATTAGACATTAAGAAAGAAATTCAATATTGCCAGCAAATAATAGTTTTATGTGTGATTTCACATAACAACTATTTATGAAAGTTGTATCATAAAAAAGCTATTAGGTGCTTGAAAATGTAGAGGAGAAAGGCTATTGAGATCAAATTGGGCCAAGACATGGAAACGACCAGACTTGTCTTTCACACCTCAAAATCTAGAACTTGGATCATCAACAAAGTTTAATGCAAAGATAAAATCAAGTATCATTTCACACAGGGTATAGTTAAACTACCTAATTCTCATCTAAACCATGAACAGGCTCTCAATTTGACTAAATTTAATATTTATTAAAATAGAGTCAAGATGAATGAGTGTGTGTGTGTGTGTAGATTCATCTTACCACTATTTTAATCTAATGCTTAAGTAGAATGCTTGACATGATTTCAGACAAATGGCTGTCCAATTTCTTCTTAAAAATCTCCAGTGAGGCAGCACCCACAATTTCTGAAGACAAGCTGTTCTGCTGATTAATTGTTATCACTATTAAGAGATTTCGTCTTACTTCTAGATTTGTTCCCTCCTTGATTAATTTCCATCCATTGCTTCTTGTCCTTCTTTCAGATGCTTTGGAGAATAGGTTGACTCTCTATTCTTTCTTAAATATTGTACCATGTCACCCCTTGTCCTTTATAGCATTTATTTCTTCTGTTCACCATTTTTTATTAAAACATAAGAAACAAAATGCAGCACTGGAAATAGATTTTTAAATTCTGTCAGAAAATAAATCAGGAATATAGAACGTTATGTTATATGAGAGTCATGTTAATTGTATTATATGAGAAAGTTTTCTAATCAAATTTGACACTTTGTTTCTTAAGCTACTGGAAAATAGATACTCATTGAATGTTAGTTAGAAAAAATCTTAACAATGTGTCATTGGATGGCGGAACCATTTATGCAGGAAATTAATAGTCTCTGCTTTACTGCATATGCTTAAACGGGCTGGGCAGCCATTTGTCACAGATATTTTAATTTAAGTTTTTTCACTGAACAATGATTTGAATTTGATAAATTAAATTCATTCATTCAAGCAATCAATTTCTATAGTTGCCCATCTCAGTCAGTGATTCTGAGCAGCTTACAATTGAAAAAAATACTATTCTTAAGAATGCTAAAACACTAAAAACATCTAGGTTAAACACAATAGGATAGGCTATTTGGCCAGTTAAGAATACAGCCAGGAAACAGGATGCTTGACGCATTTAGTGCCCCAAGCTTGAGAACATAGTCAGGTTTTTAGGGTCTTACAAAAGGATAACAGGATTGGGGCCATTATAATCTCCAAAGGAAGGATGTTCCATAAAACGAGCCACTGTGGAAAACAACTTGTCTTCATGCTGACACTCTTTGACTGACAAGAACTGCAGTATCTGCATGCTGCAGAATCCATTGAATGCTTTTAATTCTAGGGTTATTGCTTTAACATTCTCATAAAAATATTAAACATTTAGAAAATACCAAAAATATTTTTTTAGCCAGATTTATGGTCTAAAGAAACACTTTCTAATTACATAATGAAATTAACATTGTTGCTTAAGTACTGAAATTAATGCTTTGTTCCCTTTCTCTCACTATTAGTCACTCAGATATGATACCAGTTACTTTGTGGAATATTTTGCTCTTGATCTCCTAATGGAAAATGGAGAATGTTGTGGTATTATTGCACTATGCATCGAAGATGGCACAATACATCGTTTTAGAGCAAAGAATACAGTTATTGCCACTGGGTAATATGTTAATAACTATGAAGAAATGTCAATGCCAATATCTGGGCCTTTTTGTTTTAATTCAACTAGCATTATCGTTTTAATATAACATAATACAGTACAGTACAATACAATATGCCACTAGTTTATATTCCTCCATGCATTTTTGTCTTTCTTCTAGTTGATATAGGGCATGAGAAATTTAATGCAGCCCAAATATTCCATACTTGAATGTGTCGTATTTTTCGGAGTATAAGTTGCACCTTAGTTTTTGGGAGGAAAATTGGGGGGGGGGGAATTCTGCCTAGCAGGTATTCATTTTTATTCCCATAACACCAGAAAAGCAAGCAAACACAATAGTATAATAAAACAATACTTTTTGCCACTTTTTTCCTTTTCCCAGGCAGGCCGGTGAAATTCTTAACAACCTTAACTAGATGTCTGGGCATTCAGCCAAAAGCAAGTCATACCTGTAAAAATGTAACAAAGTTGAATCAACAAACCAGCCCAGCACTTGCCTGAAGGAAATCATTGAGAAACTCAGATAGAAAAAATCCTTGCCCTTAAAGGGATTATCCCCAAAAGAATAGAAATCACTAGTCACAGGAATTCTTCGCCTTGCCCTTGAGTGAATTAGCTCCCAAAAATACAAACTGGACAAAAGTACTTCTTAAGGCAGTCTTCAAATCTTTCATCATCGGAGTCTCCCAGTTGGAACAAACTGGGAAATGTTTCCAACATTATGCTGCAGTAAAAGTATTCAAAGCTTTTTTTCATCCCTAATGAGGTGCTAATGAGTGAAGCGAGATCTTCCAGATCTTCCATCTTCCGTGCTTTGCCTGAAATGGAAGATTGCTTCACTCATTAGCACCTCATTAGGGCTGGAAAAAAAAGCTTCCAAAAAGCTACATTGGAGTATAAGACTGTACCCCAATTTTCAGCCTCTTTTAGGAGAGGAAAAAGTGTGTCTTGTACTCCAAAAAATATGCTAATTATAACATTTTTGTTAAAATTGATTTTTTAAAAACTTTTTTTGCATGGGTGCAACCAATACTGGAGAGATGGTAGACTCGCTTCACTGAATGTAGTCTAGCAGAAGTTAGACAAATTATTTACCGTAACTGCCTATATTGAGTATGGTATTAGGCTTGATAGCTTCCATTAAGATAAGTTTCATTCTGACATAGGTTTATCAATATATGAGTTGAGAGCTGCAGTTCAGCTGCGGCTTTTTTAGGAGGTAATTTGAAGATGTATGTTGATGTGCTTTCATGGGAAATATGATTGTTTTGGGTCTATTTTTCAGCCATTTGGGCATTTGCTTTCCATAGCATTCTGATTTCTAATAATAAAATGTCTGAAGTGCAAAGAAATTTCAAGATTGGTTTCAAAAATTGTGATTTATTTTTATTGTCTATGAGCTGGGGAATGCTAAAGATGGAAAGTTCTCCCAGTTAAATGGTTCCTTTTTCTTTGACGATGATGACGATGATGATATGTATGTCGGTGTTAGTTAAAAAAACAGAAAAGTTGTGTTATTAAAATGTAAGCATTTTGCTTTTAAATACCAGCTACATGATCTGAAGTGTGTTGGTGGAAAGTCAAAACATGGGAATTTGATTTAAAAATCTGTATTTCAGACACACGCTAAGCCACTCTGTGGAAGAATGGCATATTATGATCTATTATACTAAAGAACAGGAAAAAAATACTTAAAAGTGACTCATAGATGGTATGACTGTATGTTGCTAAGATGCAAGTTGCTAACATTACAAATGTTGGAAATGGAATGTTTTTTAACATTAAAGAGATGACATTCATTATTATCACATATATTGGCATTAATGTTACTCATGAAACATTTTCTTTCCTGCCTTATGAATAGTAGATACTAACTATGAACTTTTTCCAGAGGATATGGGCGCACATATTTTAGCTGTACTTCGGCTCACACTTGTACGGGTGATGGCACAGCAATGGTTACCCGGGCAGGCCTACCTTGCCAGGATTTGGAATTTGTACAGTTCCATCCCACAGGTAAAAACTACCTTATTCTGTTACAAGGAACTAAGTTTTGTAGTAAATCCTTTTTTCTCCTTAATGTTTTAAAATCAACATGATGTGCAATAGAAAATTATGTATAATCTATTCATTGTTTTTATTGGATAATCTCTTCAATAGATTGCAGCAATCCCATAGACCTTGTATACCTTTAGCAATTTTAGCAAAGTAAAGAAATACGTGACCCGACAAAAGGGTGAACGTCTAAACCGCGTCGCTAAAACCGCGATGTCATCAATGCGGCGACAACAGCGCGGAGACAGAAGGGCGCTTTACAATAGCGCAGCGACAGAAAGCCGATTTAACTTAAGGTAAGGGTTAAGTTTAGGGTTAGCTTTAGGGTTAGCTTTAGGGTTAGGTTAAGGATTAGCTTTAGGGTTAGGTTAAGGGTTTGGTTTAGGGTTAGGGTTAGGTTTAGCGTTACGTTTAGGGTTACGTTTAGGGTTAGGGGTTAGGGTTAGGTTTAGTTTTACAGCGCGCTTCTGTCTCTGCGCTGTTGTCGGCGCGATTCAGCGCTCATTCGTCGGAGTGCTTTAGAACACACGGTTTTATCACTGCGGTTTAGTTGGGTGCGGTTTTGTCATTCGCCCTTTTGTCGGTGAACCAAGAAATATCCCATGAAATTTTAATTAGCAAGCTATTTAATTAGCTTCAATTATATGAGGATTTAGCAGATATAGGCAGACTCAAAAACATTCCACAATATTGAAACAGCTACTTTGTCCATGTTTATGGCCATTTTCTCAAGAAATTGTTCATTTTGTTTCTAGCATTGAACAGATTTTGAATGCAGTGGCTTAAGTAGCGTCTTCTAGTACTGTGACTATTGTCTGTATATAAAATTGGAAATGTTTACAATTTCTATAAAATTCATTTTGAGCAAAGTAAATTCTTAAATTTAGGCAAAGTAAAAAGATTGACAGCAGAGTAAAAATAAAGAAATAAGAAATTTTGGCCTCAATTGACTTCCTGTAGACAATAGAAAAAGGCAATCTTGAAATATCTACTTCACATTTCTATGGCAATTTACTGGCATATTTCTTTTTCTAAGACCATGATTCTTTCTGAAAATAATAATAAGAGAAGAATGAAGAAGTAACTGAGATGTATTAATTATGAATACTGCATTTATCTGTTAATTATGAAGTAACAGTTCTTACATCATCTATTAGTGATGGCTAATCTTTTGCATCATTGTGTGCCAACCTGCATGCCAGAAATGGCACATAAAACCATCCTGCAAGGAATGCGCAACCTCGCTGGTCTTCATGTACGCGGGAGCGCCCAAACCAGAAGAGCAGTCTTCCACCACACCTGTGCATGATGGCACCTGGATTTATGGTTCCTGGCTCGGGTGCCCGCCCGACAAACAGGTGGCAGTCGTGCATGCGCGCAATGGAAACCTGGAAGAGCGCGCCAAAACTCTGCTCTTCTGAATTTCAGCACTTTCATACACAGAAAGGCCAACTGGCCGGCGCATGGGTGTGCATAGGAATGCAGAAGAGGAGCCAGTGAGGCCACGTATTCCACGCGGGATGGTTCTGTGTGCCATTTCTGGCACGCATGCCATAGGTTTGCCACCACAGATCTATTAATAAATCTGCATTATTTTCTCCACGTTTCTGAAATGATAAATATGAGTGCATCCTTTTGTCTGGAGAGGTCTCTTTCATTATTCTTTGAAGTGAGTGACTGAACTGATTTTATAACTGTTTTTAGAGCACTTACTCAGTAAATCATTCCAGTCATTAAGTGAATCCATTGTTAAGCGAATACTGGTCATATAGAACCAAAATTGAGCTCAAAAGTTCCAATGCTAAGCAAGGCATTTGTTAAGTACCTTGTTTTAGCAAAAATAAGACAGGGTCTTATTTTCTTTGCCCCCGCCCAAATATCACCTTGGCCTTATTATTGGGGGTTTATTATTATTGGGGGTTTATTAGCGCTTATTATTTTGAAGCTAGGCTCTTTGGGAGCCCGTTTGCAAGAGAGCAGCTACCCGGCAATCCCAACTCCAGCCGGGCAGAGCGTCACTCACCAACCCAGCGGTTTCCCGAAGGTGCCAAGCCATGCAAGAGGGAGGGAGGGGGAGCGGCGCTCATGTAGCGAGTGGGGGAGTGGCTGGGATACCCCTGGGTTGGTGAGTGATGCTCTGCCCGGCCAGAGGGAGGGTTGTGCAAATGTTTGTTCCCCCCCCCCCAACACACACACATGCACCGCCCAGTCCTTCTCCTGCAGGGCCAGGGCTGCTGCCGCTGCCATCCCAACACTAAGGATGGCTTCTGAGAGGCCGGTCGGGCCAGCCACTACTGCAGAATATCCGGGAACCGGGGCAGAGAGTCTCACTGCAGCCTGGTCACAACCATAAAACGGGAAGCGTACTCCCAGAGTGGCCACTGCCGGAAGACTCTGCCCTGGCTCCTGGAAGATTCGGCAACAGCCGGCTAGCCCAACCAGCCTCTGAGAAGAAGCCATCCTCAGTGTTGGGATTTCAGTGGCGGCAGCCCTGCCCATGCAGGTAGAGTTGGCCCAGGTTATGGTGAGGATTGGGAGACAAGCGAGAGGGAGGGGGAAACAGGCCCCATGACAAATTCACCCCCCTGCTTGCATGGCTTGGTGCCTTTGGGATACTGCTGAGTCAGTGAGTGGTACTCTGCCCAGCTGGAGGATGTGTGTGTTTCCATTTTGCTTATTTTCAGGGGAGGGCGAATATTTTGGCCCACCCCAAAATCTGGCATGGCCTTATTTTCAAGACATGTCATATTTCGGGGGAAACACTCTAGTCTTGCTCCGTTTTTGTCTCAGTTGTTAAGTGAACCACTGCCATTGTTAAGTAACATGGTTCTTAATCCTGAATCTGTCTTCCCCATTAAAGTTGCAAAAAGTGGTCACATGATCTCAGGATGCTGCAATAGTCATAAATACATGCCAGTTGTCAAGCATCAGAATTTTGATCATGTGACCATGGAGAAGCTGCAATGGTCATGTGTGAAAAATGGTCATAGGTACTTTTCGTTCCATTTCCCAGCCGTCTTTTTCCCTTTATAATCTCCGGTTGCTCATTTAGAGAAACTTGCAGTTTCTCCTCAGCCTGACAAGTGCGGTGGCCATTTTGAAAGCGTTTCTCGCCATTCTGAAATTGCAAAGTGAGGCGTTCAGCTTGGAGAGCGGCGGTGGCCATTTTAAGTGCCTTTTCTTGCTGGATCGTCGTCGGAAGACTCGAGAACCACTGTGTCCTTGCGCTAAAGCCCCTCAGACACAGATCGCTGCCAGGGAGTCTCTGACCTTGTCTGGGTGCCCGCAAGGTCTACCTCCCTGCAGCACAATCAAGGACCACCGAGTGCAGCCTTAGGAGTTGTGGCTATTTAGGTCACACCCCTGTTGATCTGCAGGCGCAGCAGAACCGGCTGGCCTGTGCCTGGTGCCACGTTACTACTACAGCCTCTTCTCTCCATCGGATGACGACCTATTGATCTGCAAGTCATCATGGCAGACGGAGGCGCAGGAGGAGATGGCAGGGCCATCTTTGAAACGCATTAGGCCAGATCCTCCATCACAAGGGGGGAAGGGACAGAAAGGCACCATAGGGAAGGAATCCCAGGGACCCTCGGGCAGTAAAACCACCCCCAGGGAAGACCCCCGGAAGCACAAGCCCGTAGCAAAAACTATAGATGAAGCAAGAGGGCAGGCCAGATCACCTGAGCAGAGGGCTCCCTTGCCTGACCCTTCTATTGATCAGATGGGGGAAGCAGATCTCGGATCTCCTCAGAGAGATAGCTCCTCATCTGTAGTTGAGGAGGTGTCATGGGATTCCCCTGGGGATACCCTGACTCCCTTAGTTCTTCCATCAAGGAAGAGCCAGAGCTCTTTCAGTGTTTACCCCCCTCAGTAGGGCTAAAGGCAGGTCTGCTCCTCCTAGGGCTCGGTCTAAAGAAGACAAGGGCCCTGCTTTGTCTGCAGAGATGAGGGAAGTTATTGCCATAACCATCTCGCAGGGTATAGCTGAGGGGACATGCCAGAAGAATGCTCGAGCCTCTGGCTCTTCCAAGTCACGACCACACCCAGCTCAGGACAGGGACCCTGTCCCGGCTTCTCCTGGCACCTCGGAGGAGGAGGAGATGGAGGAATTTGAGTTGTTGGAGGATGAGGACCTTCCTCCCGATAAATCCGCCTTCACCGGCCTATTTAAACCGTACTTATTCAAGGCCATCTTGCACAAGGCTAAGGCCTCCACCGAGTTAGGAGCCAAGCCCAAGGATAAGGCCGTTCCCTCTATCTCTCAGGACCCCAAAGAGGGTCTATTTAAGGAAAATACCCCAACTCAGGAATTGATTCTGGTTCCTGATCTTTTTATGAACGCTGTCCAGTGCCAGTGGGCACAGCCTGGTACCCTGGCCAACCCAAGTGGGGGAGATAAAAACGTATATTCTGTAGAGACCAGAATGGACAACATCTTGAAAGTGCCAGAACTAGATGCTCCGGTAGTCCCATTAACTTCTAATTCAGCTTTGCTGGCGGACCTTCTAGAAGGTCTTAAGGTGGAAGATAAGAGGTCAGAGAAAGCCTGTCATAAAACGCATCAGGCAGCCGCCTGGGCAATCACAGCATCCACTTTGGCGTCCTTCTTTACCAGGGCCTCTCTTCTCTGGCTGCGCCAGCTTAGATCTAAACCTCCTTCGGAAGAGTCTCAATAGTGACATGACATCAGCAAAAATATCACCGCTGTAGAGTATGCAGCCGACGCTTCACTGAACGCGGCTAAGTTTGCTTCTCGAGCGTTGCCATCCAATGTCACCTCGTGCCACCTGTTATGGCTTCGCCACTGGCGGGCGGATATGAAGGCCAAGTGGAAGTTGGCTTCCTCTCCCTTTAAGGGTGGGCAGCTTTTTGGAGATGCCTTAGATAAGTTCGTGATAGAGACGAAGACAAACGCAAAATCCTTCTGTCTACTCATAAGAAGAATGAGCAGAAGGGCTCGGACTCATTCAGGAAACAGAGATTTCGATCACAAGAGACCGCACAGGCCTCTTCTGCTCCTTCCTTCTCCTACCAAAGGTCCTATTCCCAGGCTGGGGACAGGAGCCAGGATAGAAACTCAATTGGGTCCTGGGGTAGGCAACAGCAGACTTCTTTTCGGAAGCCCTTTCGTGGCGGTTCCAACTCCTACCAATTCCGATGTAACAAGTGACCACCAACAGGTTCCTCCCATAGGTGGCCGACTGCAATTGTATGCCCACAAATGGGAGGTGATCACCTCGGACTCTTGGGTCCTCAACAAGATCAGGAGGGGCCTAGTCCTGGAATTTCTATCCTTTCCTCAGCGGAAGTTCATCCGCTGCTCAACCCACCAAAATCCCATGAAGAAATCCCTCATGCAGGCGGAGATTCGTCACCTTCTGCAAATAAGGGCCACAGAACTCGTACCAAGTGAACAGGAAAAGCAAGGATTCTACCCCATTCTTTTCCTGGTCCCGAAAAGCTCAGGGGAGTGGAGGACCATCCTAGACTTGAAGCGCCTGAATCAACAACTGGCCTACAAGCGCTTCAAGATGCAGTCACTCCAGTCCATCCTGGACTACATAAGCCAAGGAGACAAGCTAACCTCCATAGACTTAAAAGAAGCTTACCTGCATGTTCCCATTCAGGTGTCTCACAGGAGGTTCTTACAGTTCCATTACGACGGGAGGCATTACCAGTACAGGGCTCTCCCATTCGGCCTCTCGTCCACGCCCAGGACCTTCAAAAAGCTTCTGGCAGCTGTGGGGGCTCACTTCTGGGCCCGCCTAATTCGACTGGAATGCTATCTGGATGACATCATTCAGTCCTCAAGCTACCACCAGGTCCTGCAAGACGTTCAGGTGACCATATGCACCCTCCAACAGCACGGCTTTTCTGTGAACCGGAAGAAGAGTCATCTCGAGCTGACCACACGAATTCAGCACCTAGGCACCATCATATACTCAGTTTCTTGCCAGGTGTTTCTATCCCCAGACCATCTGCGAAACCTCAAGAGCAAAGTGCATCAGTGCCGCAGCTCAGGTCAGTGCCGATCATCAAACTCTCACAACTTCTTGGCATCATGATTTTCTGCCTAAAAGTAGTTCCCTGGGCACGCCTTCATGCTAGGGAACTACAGTGGTTCCTCCTGCCGATGCAGAGGTCAAAGGGCAGCAACTCTCCAAGATGAGTCTGTCCGCCACAGAAGGTGATCCGATCCCTTCACTGGTGGCAATCTGCAGAGAAGGGGTGCCAGTTCAAGGAGCCCAAAAGAATCGTGGTAACTTCATATGCCAGCCTCTATGGATGGGGAGGGCGCATTGTCAAGGACAGCTGACACAGGGCAGAGGGAGGCAGCTCACAATATAAATTGGCTGGAGCTGAGAGCTGCCTGACTCGCCCTACATCGGTTTTCAACACAGCTTGTGGGCCGCCATGTACTATTACTAACAGACAACATAGCAACAAAGGCCCACATAAAACGGCAGGGCGGCACCCACTCCAGGAGGTTCATGACAGAAGCAGAGTCTCTGGCAGGTGGGCAGAATGCTACCTAACGTCCATCAGAGCAGGCCACATATCTGGGACAAGCAATGTGAAAGCAGACTGGCTGAACCGGCAGATGATCAACAACTCCAAGTGGCACTTGCATCCAGAGCTGTTCCAACAGATAGTTCGGAGGTTCAGCCAACTGCAGGTTTACCTATTCGCTATTCTCGCCAACACACACCTGCCAAGGTTCATTTCCCGTTACCACATGCCCCAGGTGGAGGGGACGGATGCACTGAGGTGCAAGTGGCCCTCAGGACTTCTCTACACATTTCCTCCCCTCCCATTTATTCCGCAGGTAGTAGCCAAACTCCTAGCGGAGGAAGCGGAGATCTTCCTTGTGGCCCCACTTTGGCCCAGGAGGTCCTGGTATGCGGACCTTGTCAGTCTTTCCATCCAAAGACAGTGGAAGATTCCTCAGGAGCAAATGTCCCTCAGTCAGGGAGCAGTCTGCCATCCAGACCCTCAGTGGCTCCAATTAGCCGTCTGGCACTTGAGGGGAAGCTCTTGAGGAAACAGAATCTCTCTGACAAGGTCGTCAAGACCAATCAAGTGTCCAGAAGACCATCAACTACACGAATATACGAAGTGACATGGGTTGCCTTTTCAGCCTGGTGTAAAGAACATAATGTATAAGAGACATTTCAACTTCAATACCACAACTACTTGACTTCTTTCAGGAAGGATTGGACAAAGTCTGGTGCGCAACACTCTCCGTCGCCAGGTCGCTGCCTTGTCCACCATCCTTGCTAGGGGCTCATCCCGGTCCCTGAGTCAACACCCTCAGGTCAAGAGTTTCCTGAAGGACGCAGCCAATATCCATCCTCAGACTATACACCGATACCCTTCCTGGAATTTGCTGTTTGTTCTGCGGGCCCTGACGAGCGCTCCTTTCGAGCCGATTCAAACTGCGAGTCTTCACCATTTGACTCTTAAAACTGCCTTTCTAGTGGCGATTACGTCTGCTTGGAGAGTCTCAGAGATTGCGGCTCTCTCAATCAGGGAAGAGCTGTGTATAATTCATACTAATCGGGTGATCTTGAGACTCGACCCCACCTTTATCCCCAAGGTGAACTCTCACTTCCATAGAGCCCAGGAAGTGATCCTCCCCAACTTTTGCCCTAGACCTACACATCCCAGGGAGCGTACTTTGCATAAGTTAGATGTTAGGTGAGCTAACTCGCATTTATGTCAGGAGGACTATGGAATTTAGATGCTCTGAGTCATTTTTTGTGTCATTTCAGCCTGGGTCGCTGGGCTGCAAGGCCTCGTTTTTAACCATTGGACGTTGGCTGCGGGCCTGCATCAAGATAGCCTATGAACATCAGGGCAGAGCCGTGCCAGGTCGGGTGATGGCACACTCCACAAGGAGTGCTGCCACCACAGCAGCGTGGGTGACCCAAGCGTCTATCGTTACATTTGCAGAGCAGCTACGTAGGTGTTCCCCACTGCTTTTATTAGAAATTACAAAATTGACCCCTTTGCCTTGGCCAAAGCTTCCTTTGGAAGACGTGTTTTGCAGAAACTTGCCTTGGCTCCGGACAAACTCTTCCCGCCCTGGGACACAATAGCTTGGGTATGTCCCATGCTTGGACTCTTCAAGCAACGCACAGGAGAATGACCATTGGCTTACCTGAATGGTCATTCTCTGGGCGCTGTGGGAGGGTCCAAACCCGCCCAGGGTTTAACTAGGTGTCCAAGAATCCTTGTAACAGTTAGAATTCTGTAGGGCGTCCTGCAGCGGATAAGACCTTTGTTTTAAACTGACCTCAATGAGACAAAGGAGGCGTAGTTAAAGAAAAATCTACTCAGTCCTATGGCAGATAGACTGTATTTAACCCATGCTTGGACTCTCCTGCAGTGCCCAGAGAACAACCGTTCAGGTAAGCCAATGGTCATTTTTTCTAGTGCTTTTTTAGCTTCCAGTGGTCACTAAATGAATGCTTGTAAGACACGTATTACTTGCAGTTGTTAAATAAGCCAGTGTTTTGCCAATAACTGGAAGTAACTACAGGTTTTCAGCAAAAATAAAATCTGGTCACATGACTGGGACGCTGCTAAGGAGATAAATATAGCAGTGTTGCCAAGCATCCGAAATACAATCAGATCCAAATTGTAAATCCCCTTTTTAGGCTTCATTGTAAATCAAAGACTACTTATATAAAACTCTTATTTATATCTTACTTTAGGGATATTAATGTTAGGCATTCACTTTCAAAATATAAGATAAGTAATGTTTTAATCATTCGCTCAAGGCTTTTCAATATTGGTCATATTAAAAAGCTCAACAAGGTTGGACCTGGTTGTCCCAGGAAATCCCTGGAATAGGAAGCAATCCTGGAGAAGATAATTGCAAAACCCATTTTATGTTTTCAAACAAACTATGCGGATATGTTTTAATCATTGGTAAGCTTGACTTGAAAGAAACTCTGCTTGTATTTAGATAATTCAGTAAATTTCATAAAATTGTATTTTTAAAAATCAGTAAATAATTGCTAGGCCATAATTTGAACCTAACCTTTGTAGAATATTGTTCAGTTAGATGTTATATTACATCAAATGTTATAGTAAGTTTTGTTTTTGGGATGATATATATCATTGGTAAAATGTTTTAATTTTAATATATTTTGCAGGTATTTATGGAGCTGGCTGTCTTATTACAGAAGGCTGTCGTGGTGAAGGAGGTATTTTAATTAACAGTGAAGGAGAAAGATTTATGGAGAGATATGCTCCAGTTGCCAAAGATCTAGCTTCCCGAGATGTTGTATCTCGTTCTATGACTATTGAGATCCGTGAAGGAAGGCAAGTTTAATCTATCAAGTCCATAAATGTGATTATAAAAGATGCAGAGATCAACATTGTACAAACAATACTTGTATGCACACATATCTTTCCATTATTTGTTTGCAAAATAAAGCATAGCACAACATTTGTAAAACCCACCCATCTGCAATTTACAATCCAATCTTCCTATAGCAAACTTTTTTTAAAAAAATTAGTGACTTGGCAGCTTGACAGACATGAAACTGCAATAAGTCATCTTGTTTGTTTAACTATGTGCTTAATTGCTTTTTTATTCTCTCAACATTCATTTATAAATAATCTTAAACAAATACATGTAAAGATGTCATTGTTCTGTGTTACTGTATATACAGAAAAATAGAAAAAGAGCAACTCAGTCATAAACCAGAAAACATTCTAATTGCAATGATCAATCAGAACGCTCTGAATTGAAACAAAATAGCCTGTTCTTGAAACAGAACTCTTAAAATGCTTATGTTTTGTTTATTTTTAAATTCTTGGAACTTTTACTTTCGTGTTAGAATATTTCAAAAGCCTTTTGCACATCCCTGTTACAGATTTGTTTCATTGGTTTTTTTAAAGGGAATACTTCATTTGAACTTTTTATTTATTTATTTATTCATTCATTCATTCATTCATTTTTTATGCTGCCCATCTCATGGATGCAGTAAGCAGTTTGAAATATAATAAAAAAATAAAAAGTAAGATAAATCAATTAAAGATAATTAAATAGAAAAGCTAAAAAAATGTAGTTACTAAAATAAAATCAAGTATAGTTTGCAAACACTTGATAGAATTCTCTTATATAATTATTTGTTGTCTAATGTTTATATCTAAATAATGGTAAGAAAAAATGTTTATCTCTATTTAACATCTCTTTAAAATAACAGAGGTTGTGGTCCTGACAAAGATCACGTGCACTTGCAATTGCACCATTTGCCACCACAGCAGCTAGCAATGCGTCTTCCTGGAATTTCAGAAACTGCTATGATATTTGCTGGTGTTGATGTTACAAAAGAACCTATTCCTGTCCTACCTACTGTACATTACAATATGGGAGGTATCCCTACAAACTACAAAGGACAGGTAATTTTCAAAACATTTATTTATTCATTCATTAAATGTATATACCCGTGATGGCGAACCTATGGCACAGGTAGCACGCAGAGCCCTCTCTGCAGGCATGCCAGTCGCCCCAGCCCAGCTCAACTAGCATGCACATGCAGGCATGCCTTCCACCGGCCAGCTGGTTTTCAGGACTATGCTGTGGGCCAGGGTGAGGGACCTGTGAGCAAGGGAGGGAGCTCACATTGTGCAGCAAACTCGGGCTGGATGTGAGTGTGAATGGCCTGGCCCCGCAGTGCTTCCTCGCTCAGTTGGAGACTGAGTGTTTTCCATTTTGGGCCTGGAAAGCCTCTTGTACCAATCTCAAAGCAAAAAATCAAAACCCTGCAACTGTTTGAAGACTGAAGGAAGCCTCCAACTGAGCGAGGAAGCACTGTGGGGCCAGGCCACTCACACTTCCAGCCCGCCGGAGTTTGCTGCGCCAGGGCAGGAATGAGGCCCTGTCCTGTGGAGCCCACTGCCTCTTGCGTGAGGAGGACATCGATGAAGATGAGGAGAAGAATGGTGAGGCTTTGCAGAAGCCGGCAAGGTGCAGGTCAGGTGGGGCTGGCTGGCTGACTGGGGAAGGGCCAATCCTGTGCTTAGACGGCTGCTGCCACGAGCAGCTTGCATGCCCCGACTGCTGGTGGAGAAATGAGGTATCCTGCTTGAATGGGGAGGACGAGGAGAAAAGTATTCAAATCCCCCCCCCCTTCCCGGCCTCGCTGCTCAGGTGTCACCCACACCATTGCCAGCAGTTTGAGTACCCTGGCTGAAGTATGGATCGCTTTCTCTGCCACACACACACACACACACACACACACACACACACACACACACGGATTGCTCTCTTACCCTGGCTGTCCCTTATTTGCATGCAAGTGTGCTCCTTGAAACAAAGAAGCCTCATTAAGTAGTTAAGTGGAAAGTAGTTGAGAGGGGAGGAGCAGGTGACCACTTTTCATGCCTAGAATGAAAGTTTCTGGGTCCCTGAAAAGAGGATGGGTGCCTGAGTCTGCACAATATTATAGCACCCAAGCACGAAAAGCATTTCCCAGCCAATTCTCCTCTCCCTTCTTGAAAGGCAAAGAAACAGAAACAAGAGAGGAGACAGATGTTTGCAAGATAAGCGAGTCCTTGTTGCAGGAAGGAAGAAGCATTTTAGTGGGTTAGGGAGATCTTGGGAGCCTGTTCTATCATTAGGACTCCCATAGCCTTCCCCACCGAGATATCCCCACCCTTGATATTCTTGAATTGTGAGCTCTTAGGAAAGTATCCCCTACTTGTGTGTTACAAACAGTTATTTCCAGTGGGGAAAACAGGACAAAGCAAGTGGGGGAAAATAATTTCCTTTGCTATATTTCCAGTCTGAATTAGACCATGGCAGGGTCCATACAGAAGAGCTCTTTTAAAGATCATTATGTATTAATAGAAAAGAAACTTGGCTCTGTTCTTCAATGCTAAAGCTGTTGCACATAAAAAACAGAGGAGCTCTGTTCAACTATCAGAGCCATCATTTTGACAGTTTTGCTGTACTGTAGTGTGTCCCCATGAAATGCAAGCATGGAATAAACTCAGCCTGGTTTGTTCTCAGTCTTTTAAGTGGCCACAAACTACTAGCAAAAGTGGTGTTTGATCATAAGGCAAGGAATGTTTCCCCTTTTGCATTTGAGCATCCAAGAAGGGACAGGAAAGACAAAGAAAAATAAGGAAAGAGGGGAAGAGAGCAAGGAAGCAAAAATAAGGAAAGAGGAGAAGGAAGAAGAAAGAATGAAGAGGAAAGGAAAAAGAAGGGAAGAATGAGAGAGAGTGAGGGTGTGAGGTAAATCCTGCCTTAGCATTTGATCACCAGCAACCCTGTTGCCTTTTACCATCCCCTTATCCCCTTCTGTCCTCTCCTGGTGGTCTCCCATCCTATCACTGAGGATGCTTTGGTTTCAAAGCTAGGTCTTGTAAGAAGAGGAAGTGGGCCTCCCTCTGACCCATATACTTTGCCCTCCTTCACACACCATAGGCAACCAAGGAGAGCCAGCAGAGCAGCAATGGGAGCTGGCCCTGCCCAGCATGGCCCCCAAAGTCAACCACAATGTGGCCCTTATTGAAATTGAGTTTGACACCCCTGGACTAACAGATGACCTGACTGCTGCATAAGTTGTTCTCAAATTTATAAAGTATGAGTCAAGATTAGAAACATCAGTGTGCATACAACAGCAAAAGTCACATTAATCAAAAGCATGCCAAATGCAAACATTTACCTTTCAATAAAAAGATGTTTGTATCATTGAAAGCTCTGTTATGGTGGGGTTTTTTAACGAGAATTTTTTAAAATCACATATGAGTTTTTCTAAACTAAAACCTAATTATTCAGGTTAAATTGCTGTGTTGGCACTCCAAGATAAATAAGTGGGTTTTGGATTGCGGTTTGGGCACTTGGTTTCTAAAAGGTTTGTCATCATTTGTACTTACTGTCCATCTAACTATTGAATTTTAATTTTAAATAGACTAGATGTTTATTTTTATACTATTTAAAGCTTTGACAGTATATCAAAACAGAAGCTCTCATTAGTTTTCCTCCTGTGCCTTAATCTAGTGTCAACATTTTTTTTATTATAAGATGCCATGCAGAGGTGGGTTGCTCCCGGTTCAGCCGAACAGGTAATGGTGATTTGGCCTGGGTCGCAGAACCGGCAGCGACCCAGGCTGGCCACACCCCCGAAACGGTTCCCCAGTCTCTTCTGCCATTGCCAGCATGATTCTGCGCAAGCACAGAACAAATTACAGACAACTGCTCATGCGCAAGCAATGCGCAAGCAATGCGCACAAAGCAAACCGGTGCTAATCGGTACAGGAATCCACCCCGGTGCCATGTCTTGTCTATCTACATTTGTGCATATATGTATATATTGACAGGTAATCACACGTGGAAATGGCAAAGATCAAATAGTACCTGGTTTATATGCTTGTGGTGAAGCAGCTTCTGCCTCTGTTCATGGTGCTAATCGACTTGGTGCAAACTCACTTTTGGACTTGGTAGTCTTTGGTCGTGCCTGTGCTCTTACCATTGCAGAATTATGCAAACCTGGTAAGTCTCTTTAGTTTTTAACATTTAAAATATGTACCTTAAATTTTGCAATGCTGTATTTTGTAACATACTTAAAAATTAAGATCATGTCATTTGTGTCATAGAAAGTTACATGTAGTCCTCAAGTTATAATGGAGCCTGCCCATTGGGGTAAGAAATCAGAACAAATGTTAAATGAACTGCCTCAAGTAACAACTAAGTCATCCTTGCTCTTTCCAGTACATTTGTTAATCAAATATATGTATCATTAATTGGAGCATGGGGTATCTTAAAGATGGCCTACTTGCCTTGGGTCTCCCAAGGCCTCCTCCATCCTCTGAGATATTCTTGGCTCTGCTTTTGCCCCTTGGGTAGCCATACAAGCCTGCCACACAGTTCACTGTTTTGCCAATAAGAAATAATAGGGAAGGAACCACTGGGCACACCTGCCTTTTGTAGTTCTGCCACTGTTTTTCCTACTGCCAAGATGCTCCTGCCTTTCTGGACCAAAAGAACCAGTTCCCTAGCTTTTTAGAGTTTTTTTGTCCCAGTCCATTGGTCATTGATCAGTTGGCCATCAGGAAATTGCAAACTCCTATCTAAGGCGGTAACTTCAAGAATAGCTTCACAAAAGTTTTCCCTTGCTTTAACTTTCTTCCTTCCCCAGAAAGCCAAATTTCTTCAATAAACAAAACAAAACAGCTGAAAGGAACAGATTTGTTGATCTTTCTCCCCTCCTCAATTATGTGCCTAAACAAAACTCCTCACTTCTGCTCTCCAATTGCTATTCCTTTTAAAAACCTAACTCCAGGCTGAAGAGTAGAAGAAAACAAGCAAAGAAACTTTTTCTGAAGCTTTTTGCCTTCAGCAGCTACAGAAAAAAATCAGCTCAGAATTTTGCAAAGCTTTTTACTGCTTGTCTGACTGCATGTAGAACCCAGCTAGGATTCTAAAGACAAGTCCTAGTTAGATCGTACGGGCAGTTGACAAAAGGTTTACAAAGATCCAGTTTCTGTCCCATTTTGCTGCAGCTGGCTAAATTTCCTGAATTTTAAATGCAAAAAGGATTTGTTTATTTCTTCCGTTCCCTACTCTTCAGTCTGGAATCAAGGTAGGATTAGAGCCATGAGGGTGAACCTATGGTACATGTGCCAGAGGTGGCATGGGGAGCATTCTCTGCTCGCATGCCTGTTGTTGCCCCAAGTCAAATCTCCATCACGTTTCTTTCATGAGCTTCTGTTTCTCTGCAAATGACAAAACAGAAGCTCATGAAAGAAAAAGATCTTATCTCTTGCCACGCTACTGCTGTTGGGATGTCCCATCTCCTGCCAGCCAGCTGGTTTTCAGGTCTCTGCTGCACATGCATGCATGCGCATGCATGTCCATGCCTATGCACATGCACCTTTCAGTTTGGGCATGGGTGCACGCACTGTTTGGACACTCCGTGTCTAAAAGATTCACCATCACTGGATTAGAGATTAGAGGTGGAATAGAAAGATCAACAAGTCTATTTCTCCAAGCTTTTTTTTTTCTTCTTTATTGAAGAAATTTAACTGGGGGATGAATTAAAGCGAGGCAGTGGTTTTGGGAAGCTTGTACTGAAGCTACTGCCAAACGCTACTGAAGTTTTTGGTTTCCCAAAAATTGCAGGAGCCAGAAGTTTGTATTCTCCAGCAGCCATCTGATCAGGATAGAAAGCTCTGAAAGCAGCCACCATTTTCCACAAGGAATTGTCAGTGCTGAAAATTGAAGCATTAACACGTCATATCTGGAGGACTACCTGTAATTGCATTTCCGGGTATCGACTTCTGCTTGAATTTGTATGAAAATTATTATGCTGTCAGGGTTGGAGAGATGTTTTCTCTTTTGTAGGACAAAATTCAGAGAAAATGTTTCTAAATTATCATTATTTCTGATGAACTTATCTAATGTCATCTAATGTTATTTGGGAGTTTGGCTGCTAAAGACATAATTTCAAATTGTCAGTTGTAGGTGTCATATAGAATGGATTCTTCTGTATTTTTATGCCGTGTTTCCCTGAAAATAAGACAGGGTCTTATTTTCTTTTGACCTCTGAAATAAGCACTTGGGGAGGTCTTATTATTTTTGAGGTGCAAGAGGTGGCGAGTGTGATTACCTCATGACTGCTGCTATGTTGCAATATTTTGGGGAAGGACTTTTTAAATATTTTTTTATTTTTTATTTAAAACAAATACAACATCCTTCTTTACATGCTATAGAAAGTGTATCA